TGGGCTTAAGGTCTATGATGCTCTCACCTCATTCAAAAACACTTTAAATTTGTATTTTCCTTTTCTTATACTCTTGTAGTAAAGTGTTGAGAGATTTGGTTTAAATTCTTGCTTTGAAGAGTGTGAGTATTTAGGGTCAAAGGGTATGAGAGAGTATTCTACGTGTTTTAAAAATTTTAACACAATGTTTATTCTCTAGTTATTATTAGATAATGGTTGTGATTTTTCTCCAGTTTGGAGTTTCCACGCTATATGTTTGTGTTGATTGTTTTTCTCTTATTTCTCTATTAGTAGGGTAATTCTCGGGGATAAAAATGATGATGTTCTTCATGTTGTTTTTTTCCATCTATTCTTTCTAATCCTTGAAAATATAATTATTTTATTAAGATAAAATTTTATATATGACAAATAGGAGTAATAAAATCTAGAAAATATGACATAATAAAACCTAATAAAATAAACTATAAACAAAATAATACTAGTTATTATTAAGATTAATGTAGAATATTTAAAAAAGACAAAAAAGAATAAAAATTAATTGTGTTTGTCAAATTGGTTAAAGAGATTGAAAAAACCAAATTAATTGAGAAGATTAAGGAAATGTGAAGAAGCAAAAGGTAAGAGAAAGATAATAATGTAACGAACTGATTGATTTAAGAGATTAGAAAAGACAAAATATTGAAAAGTGAGTAGAAGAAAAGTAAATAGTGTGAAATATAAAAGAAATGACCTTATATATAATGTAAAAAAGAAGGAAATACTTGAAACAAAATATTTTAGGATTTATATTTAAATATAAAGTCGGGACAAGGATGGGGATAGAGATAGGGTTGGGGTGGAGATTGTATTACTCATCTTCCCCCCCCCCCCCTCCCCTCCCACTTTCAAGAAAAACTTGCTCCCAATCAACTCGAGTTTTCCTATCAAACTCGGGACGGGGACAAATCGTTCTGTGCGGGTATGGGTTTAATTGTCATCTCTAATCGGAATAGGGGCAAGAGGACCATCAAACCCCGACGAAGGTGTTAGAAAGTGTCCTCGTGAGAAGAGGGTGACACATGGGCATCACGCTCATGATAGGTACATGGAGATCTTTGCGCATGGGGAAGAATCTTCACTCGAGATCAATGGGGTTGGTTGTCGCTAGAGCGGCGACCTAGATTCAATGGTTGTCGAAGAAAACTAAGTCGAAAGCTGGCGGCAGACGAAAGTGACAATGGTTAAATTTACATTGAAGATGATTGTATGTTGATGATATATTTATTGCAAGAAATAACGTTGCTAGAATATCTCAACTAAAGGAACACTTGGGTAAAAATTTTCAAATCAAGGATCTTGGGAGTCTCAAATACTTCTTGGGTATTGAAGTAACTCAGTCAAAAGAAGATGTTGTAATCTCTCAAAGAAGTATGCACTAAACATCCTACGAGAGACATGTATGATTGATTATAGACCAGTAAATAATCCTGTGACCCAAGTAAAAAGCTAATGACAGCACAAGGTGAATCGTTCTCTGATCTAGAAAGATATAGAATATTGATTAGAAAACTAATTTATCTTACTATTTTTAGACCTGATTTATCTTTTGTAATTGGAACTTTTAGCCAAAGGTTCCTTATATTGACCATTGGAATGTTGTCATATGTATCCTAAGGTACCTCAAAAAGGTTGTAGGCTATATGAAGACAAATGCAACACCCAAATCTTTGAGTATTGTGATGCTAATTGGGTTGGATCCCCTACATGATCTTGGGTTTTCCTTGGAGGAAATATTATTTATTGGAAAAGTAAGAAAAAAACTATAATGGCTCAATCAATTGTTGAAGCTGAATGTTAGGCAAATAACATCTTTTACTTGTGAACTTATATGGGTGAAACAATTCCTTCAAGAGCTTAACTTCTATAAAATACAAACTATAAAGATATATTATGATAACCAAGTCGTCCTTTACATTGATGTTAATCCATTATTCCATGAGAAAACTAAACACATTGAGATTGACTGTCACTTTATTTAAGAAAAGTTAGTGTCAAAGAAAATTTGTATTAAGTTTGTTAGAAATACTAATCAAACTTGAAAATGTGTTAACAAAACCCTTAAAGAAATATTGGATTGAGTTTATTTGTTCCAAACTTGATAGATACAATTTATTTGTTCCACGTTAAGAGTGATAGAATAAATAGGTTGAGTGTTGTGTACTAAAAAGCTATTTTATGTTGTAACTATGAATTGTACCTATATCTGTACTTAGGTTTTTAGCTTAGGCTTTAGTTTCTTGATCTTTCCTCTATTTATTGTATTTTATTTTATCATAAATCTCATTAGAGGTGTGATTAAGTCCTTTAAATTATATTTTTCTCCTTTTACTTACTCTTAAGTAATTTACTCAGTTAATTTATTATACAATCACTTTTTTTTTAATTTATAAATTTTTCTCTCCAGCTAAATCATGATAATTTTAATTTCATTTAAAGGATGAAACATCCATGTTTGACAAGGAAATGGCCTTCCTTATATCTCCTTGAAGCTCCTCATACATCAAATTTAGCTCTTGCAACATCATATTCTCTGTTGACAACAAAATATAGTTTGAATAAAAAGTACCCAAACTATCACTAATTAGAAGAAATGCATCATGTATTAATAAATAAGGAATCTCAACCTTTGACTTTCTCATTTTCGCATTGAACTTGGTGGCTAGTTAGGGTTGTTTTGGGTAAAATTGTGTAGCAGTTGGGGAACTTTTCTCTCCAAATTAATTATATAGAACAAAACCAGTTCTTAAAAAAATTGTCAAATCCAAGTTAGTGTAAAATAAAATTAGAAGTATGAAAGTGAAAACTTGTCCGATCAATCAAGTTGAATGGTGTTGCATTTTTATTAAAGATAACGATATTAACATTATTTTTAATATATAGCTATTTCGCAACTATCTTATTATAATATAATAGTACAAATGTAATATAAAATTATTATAGTTATATTATTATAAGAAGATTATCAACTAGTTGTCTATAAAAAATTTAGTTGTCATAATCCAAGACTTGACCTCAGTAGTGTAATTAGTTTCTTCTTAATAAAAAAGTTTATTAGGTCAAGTCCATGTATAGAATTTTTAATTTTCTTGTTACAGCATATAACATTCTTGATTTCCCTCAATTTATTCGATGAATATTTAGAAATATATTTATTCTATTTGGGTGTGAGTGTTACAAAAATTTCGAAGTTAAAGAGGTTTAATTCAGTTGATTGATTGTAAACTCAAACATGCGGTCAATTCTTACATGTCTAGAAAAAGAAACCATGTTCAGATTCGAATTGCTCGTGAGAGAATATCAATCAAAACTCTTAGATAAATGCTCTATGGCATTCATTTTACATTTTTTTTTTCTTTTGGATTTTAGTTTTTTTTACCACTTTTCACCGCCCACAAGTGCTTTAAACAACCCGTGTTGGCAGCTTTATTACATGAGGCCTAAACCATGACATGATACCAACCACATTTAGGTCCAAATCCACACCGTGTTTGGTCTGTCCCAATTAGTGCTTTTCCATGTGACGTGACCATAAAAGTTTTGTTCCATGTGAGTCAAAGAGAACGCACAAAGAAAAAGGCACAAGCGAATCCAAACCCTGGCATAATTGGTGCCTAGTTGATAGGACATGACGACAGGTACAGCTTCATCATTCCCTTTAGATGGATTTTGAGTTACCAAATTAAAACTACCAATCTAATAATCTGAAAAACTTCCATTTTTAATGTCTGAAACTCTTATGTTTAAAATCAAAGGCAAAAATACATCTCAAAATGACTTAATAACTTATGGCAAAGCAAAGGATTAGAAGTATCAGAGAAAACAAAAAACGGTAAAAATCAAAAGCTATATAATGAAAATATTTTTATTGGAGATTTAGATAGTAAATTGTTATAATTATTGATGAATTAAATTTTAAAATTTTGACAAAAATACACGGTCATGCGAAACTATGAAGTTGATAAAACCAAAGCCCCTTTTACAGCAATTGGTCGAATTTGGCTTAACCAGGACGAGATCTGAGTAAACCGTGGCTGGCTAAAGTTTATTTTATAACACTAATTAGAGTTAGGACCCCTAAAAAATGATGATATCAAGGTTCACTTAAAAAGGTCTCTCGGTAAGGACAAGCTTCATTCAACGCATCAATTATCCTCATTATGTACATGTTTGAAATTTAAATTTTTATCTATTCTAGACTTTATAGTAAAAACACTTTCGAAATTTTTCATGTTAAGTGAACTTACCATATGACTCAATTTTCTGTTCTCTTCTCATCTATACAAGAAATAGAAATAAACACCTTTCTGATATTTACTAATATAATGGAAAATTTATAAAACAAAAATGAAACAGAACTAGAAAAAAAAAAATGAATAAATACAAACTATTTTCAAAATACCCTTTCTGTGCTAAACACAACCTATTTTATTCCATAATATCGTAGCTTTTGATTAAATATTGTTAAGTAATATATAGTAAGTAGGCAAGGGCTGATACTATAATGTCATAACTTAACAAACTCTGCTATTTAAATTCAGAGAAGATTGCATTGAATTCAAAAGATCATAGAAACAATAAGATGGCAGAAGTAATAAATATTAACAGCATTAGCAACCCACATGTAAAAACACAAATTGCATACAATTGTTCTAGGTTCATAATAATAACCAAAAAAAGATGAAAATGGAGTAACAAAGCATGGTAAGACACAGCTAACCGAAGCTACTAAAACAAGAGACAGAGAGCAAACAAGTAGATACTAAAGAGGGACAGAGCAAACAAGTAGATACTAAGGAGGGACAGAGAAACAAGCAGGATACTAAGGAGCAGTAGTACCAATTAAAGCAAACATGAAAATAGACACTCAAACTAACAAAAGCTAATAACCCCAAAACTCATCTGCCTGTCCCTCTTTTCTCTTAGTATGCTTTTCAAATTTTGGTTATGGCTGATTGGTTCTCTCACTTGGCCATCATCACTTTGACAAACTCCTCATAGTTGATCTGCCCATCGCCATCAACATCAGCCTCGCGAATCATCTCATCAACCTCTTCGTCAGTCAGCTTCTCACCGAGATTTGTCATAACATGGCGGAGCTCAGCAGCAGAGATAAAGCCATTCTGATCCTTGTCGAACACGCGGAAAGCTTCTTTAAGCTCCTCCTCCGAGTCAGTGTCTTTCATCTTGCGAGCCATCAGGTTGAGAAACTCTGGGAAATCGATAGTTCCGTTGCCATCAGCATCAACCTCATTTATCATGTCCTGCAGCTCTGCCTCAGTTGGGTTTTGCCCAAGTGACCGCATTACAGTCCCAAGTTCCTTGGTAGTAATGCAACCTACAGCATGATACAAAACAGTTAAACGCAAACTTGATTCATTCAACCCCACAAGAGAAATGCAGATAAGAGTTTTGAAAACATGAAGGAACATTATCAAGGATCATTTGCATCAAAGGAACACATAAGCTATAGATTTGGTAATAATTTTTCACACTAATGCTTAATTAACATTGGGATAAGTTATTGTGTGTATTCATGGGTGTAGGGGTTTGCCCATCCACTGAGACACACTCACAGCAGAAACATCCACAGAATAAAACAATGGTTAACAAATCTAGACAAAATGAAATTCATATTCCAATACCAAAAATCTAAACGCTCAAGAATGTCTAGGTAAACCAAATATTCCGATCCTTCAAAAGATCCAACCATCTAAGTTCATCACAATAAATGTGCACAAGATTCACAATCACTGTTTAATTCTGTTGCCAAACAAACTGGCACATTTCTGACTTTACAAGTCACAGAAAAGTCCTTCGAAAAAACCAAATCCTTAACATCAAATGCACATAGCAAGAAAAATATTTACCCCAAAACGATAAACACAATCATACACAAGTTATAATGCTAAATCGCGCAGTCGAATCAGAGACACACAAGGCTTATCATCAACCAACCCAACAGGATGATACCGACAGATTCCCTAACCAAAACAATCCAACATGCCAACATTCTATTCTCAGACAACACAAAAACATAACTCCTCAAATTTAACACAACAAACTGCCACGCATGTGCAGCCCCATAAGCCCATAACGGGATCCCTTCCAAATCACAAACCACAACACCAAATTCCACATCCACGAAAACGATTTCCGACACGTGTATCAAACAATAAAAATAAAGCCCGCTTTAAAATTTTAAAACGCTAAAACTCCATTTCCAAGCCCACGATTCACATCCGCCCACACCTGGAATCATCATCCGACACAAAACACCACCACATCAACAGCCACAAAACCAACGGAGAAATTTCCACATCAACATCCAAAAGGTCAAACAAAATCGGAACCCTAGATCACCGAGTAAAAGTTTCATACAAATTCAATCCCGCTCCCAACCCACCCACCAAAACGATCAAACTTTGCACACAAACATACACAAATCATGCATCAAGAACAAGCGAGTTGCAAAAACCAGATCTAGGAAAGAGGGAGAAAAGTAAAACACGGGGCTAGACAGAGAAAATAGAAAGAGAGAGAGAGAGAGGGATCTGAGGAGAGACCATCGCCGTCCTTGTCGAAGAGGCTGAAGGCCTCCTTGAACTCGGCGATCTGGTCGTCGGTGAGCTGGTCGGCCATTGGAGGAGAGAGAGGGACGTTTAGGAAGCGAGAAAGTGAGGGAAAACGAAACAGAAAAGGAAAATGAATGTGGAAAAGACGAAGTAGAGGAATGGGATATATATATATATATATATATATATATATATATATATATATATATATTTTTTTTTTTTTTTTTTTTTTCTTACACCTTCCTCCTCAAGCTATGGTCCCAAACTCCCCGTGTCATTTGAATATTTAAATTAAAAATTTAACTTATTTGTAGTTTTCATTATTTATTAATTTTTTAAATATTTTAAAAATCTTTTAAAATGATTTCATTCTAACATTATACTATTCAAGGAAGGCATAAAATACATTTTTTATTAAAATTTTAGTGTGAAAATAACATGTAAGTGAAACATGAGTATACTAAAATAATATATAAAACATTTTATGGTAAAAATTTGTCAATAATCATAAGTAGTTGATAAAATATCTAATTAAAATTGTTATAAAATATCTAATTAAACTTCACAATTTGTAAATTAAATTAGTGTATTTTAATTATTTAGTTATTAAATCATGATTTGATTATATATACATATATAAATTATTTCTTTGAACAATTTTTCAATTTTTTACGTATATTATGTTTCTTTAATTTTGATCGAATTTAACTTTATATCTAATATATTCATTAAGTTATTATTAAGTAGTAATTTAATAAATTAAAATATAAAATAAAAGAAAAGGAAAGAAATGTATAAAAATTTGAAAATTTTACCAATATTTTCAAATTTCTCAAACCTAAAGACTAAAATCTTGACGAAAAAAAAATAGAAGGACCGAAATTTTAAATCAAGAACAAAATGTGGCCAAAATTATACATAAGTGAAGGTTTTATTAACCATATATTATATTAAAATCTTAAGATAATTTATTTTTGTTTTCAAAAATATTTTATATTTAAATAAAAATTTAAGAAAAAATAATTCATACATTAATCATAGAAACGACCAATTTGCTTCTATAATTTAATTATTAAGACTATATTTTTTTTAATGACAATGTTTAATTCTTAAAAATTAAAACTGATAAAAGATTTTTTTTTCATTAATAAATTTTAATGTTTTCATAATAATTGCATCAAATAAGTTATTTTTATTGTCATAAAGTTATTAAAAGTATTTTTCAATTTTTATTATGATTTTTCAGTGATCATTTATATATTTTTTTAGTATCATTTTAAAATTATTTTTAAAATCTAAAAAGTAAAATTAAACTAAATAAGTCCAGTTCTTTATATAATTCATATAATTATATTATAAATAATTTCAAGTAATGTGAATTATTGTAGAGATATTAAAATAATCTCTCCTTTTCTCATTTTAATAAAAAAAAGTCTTTTAATAAATTACTCAAATTTAAACTATTTACATAAAAATTTCGAGAGAGTAATCAAGAATAAAAATATATTATTTTGTTATTTCCAAAAATTACATTTTTCTCTTAAAAGACTTGATAGAAAAAGAATATCTTCCACATAATAATAGAAAGAAAAACATTAATCATTGTCAAAGAAATCATTGAAGTATTATAATGGATTCATATGTTACAAAAGCGTAAATATCTAAATACATTTAAGAAAAGGGGTGAATTAAGTTTTCAAATCCTTTTCAAATATAATCAATTATTTAAAATCTTTTTCTCGATAATTAAAATTAAAAAAGAATAAGAAATGTGTTAAGATCACAAGAATATCATGATAAAAAAAAAGAAGAAGAGAATACAATAATTTATACTTGTTTGATTCTTTTGAATCTATATCCAATTAATTAAGTAATCTTAGCTTGAATTTTTTACTAAAATTCACTAATCAGATTACAACATAACCTACAAATCTTGAATACAACACACTTTAATCAATACCTAAAAATAAATCACAACACTTGAAAATGTTATCCACACAACTTTCAAGCTAATTTGATGTTGTTCACCTCATATACATCAATATACAATAAATATTCACATAAAAGAAAAACAAGAATAATTTCACATGAGACTTTTGGAATACTAAATCCTATAACTAAACAATTTCTTCTTTGAATTTGGTTTTCTTCAAAAACATTTTACAAAATCAAAATGTTTCCTTGTTGCCCACTAAGATGTTCTTTTTAATGTTGTAATTGTTTTGAAAGATGTGTTTAATTGAAGAAAGTTTACATCCTTTAATAGAGTTAAAATCTGTTACAACTTATTTAGATAATCGATCAGTCGAACATCTAATCAATTATTTGCATGTAGTGACAAATTGAAAACAAGTCATATAATCGATTATTAGCACGTGATGTCAAAGCAGAGATGTAATCACATAATCGATTAAGTGACAACATAATCAATTATTAGTGCATAGTATGAAACCATGAATTTAAGTTATATAATTGATTAAATACTTATCTAATCGATTAGTTTTAACTCTTATATCATTATCAAGTTCTAGTTTAAGGACATGTGGCTTATAAAAATATTCATAAGATAATTTTTATATGCTCTTAACAAATTTAAAGTTATAAGAATTATATTAGTTTAAAATTATATTATATATAGATATTTTTTTTAATGATTAAATTTAGGAAATTTATAATTTTGAATTATATGATGGATTGGAATAATGATTTTGGAAAACTAATTGTTTGAGTTTATTAAGATTATTTTTAAGATTTATATGAACCATTACTTATAATTAATAATATATGTAGACCCCAAATCTTGTGCGGTCTTACAATAAAGTTAAGAAATTCTCCATTTCAAAGATGGACAAGGCTTCATTAGGCCCCTAATAGTGTTTTCTAGGCTCCATTTAAGAAAGGAGGGTTTTTTTAGAAAATAAAAATTAGGAATTTTGTCAGAAGCTCGAGACAGCCGTACCGGATCCCGGACGACTGTCCCACCTAGTCGATTAGCTCGAGATGGCCATCCTGGATTCCAGACGATCGTCCCAAATTATTTTTTAGTCTGGGATGATCGTCCCAGACCGTTCCAAATCTCAGACGGTCGTTCCAAAACATTTTACCAAGTGAGAGGGTCGTCCCAAAATCCCAGACGGTCGTCCCGACTAACAAAGTTTGGGACACCCGTCCCAACCTCCTTGGTGAGCGCACCTATAAATAGGACATCAATCCTCACCCTTTCACACACTTCAGAGCCACATTCTCACAGATTTACACGTTCCTAGACACTTCTAGGCACCGAGTAGTCTTTCGGATAGTCCATTTGGGCAGAATCGGTTAAGGAAGTCTCCTTTTGAGACATTCGCCTCTCGGCAGTTTAATAATTTTATTGTTCGAGGGAGGAGTGTTCATGTAGTGGGAGGGGACTGCCAAAAAATGTCCTCAAAGTTTAAAGATTTATAAAAGCTCGCTTCGGAGGTTCTTCTCAATCCCTTACTCTTTTATCGCTTTTCTTTATGGCTTTCCTTTGTGTGCATTAGAAATTAGGGTCATGTAGATATTTAATAAATACTGCGAATAAATAAATAAGGTAAAAGCGTAATTTCTAGAAGTCTTTATTTTCTGAATTAATCCGTTATAGGGAACCCGAAAGGGGCGTTGTGGGGTGCTAACACCTTACCCACGCGTAACTAACTCCCTTACCCGACTCTGGTTATAATGGCCTAAGTTGATTTTTCTTAACCAACGCCTTCTTTTTTATCCTTTCTCAATGTTTCTAGTTAAAAAATTGGTGGTGACTCCATATAACCCTTTTTGTGAAAATCTCGCTTTTAAGGATAGTTTGGTTAACGAGCATCGTAAAAGTGATGACCATTTATTTTATGAAAAACGTGAGTCTCAACCATTGTGTCTGGCCGCACATTTCATTCCCTCCTTCGCGGGGGACAGCGGCGACAAATGACGACTCCACTGGGGAAGCCTAGAGAGTTGATCTCACTTAGTGATGGATTAATTCAAAAGAAAATAAAAGATTTGAAATTACGCTTTTACCATTCTTTGTTTGTATAACATGTTTTATTTGTATGACTTTAATAACTGTTGTATGTTTATTTTTCGCACTTGTATGAAATAAAAACTGTATACAACCTTTACACACAACAGTCCCTTTATACCGGGGGGCAAGAGCGATAAATCTTTAGGGAGTGGGTGACATGTACGGTCGACCGTGGTAATGACCTTAGTGCTAGCAGGTCGTTGTCGGAAACCACCACTCAAGGTGATAACCCTCCTCTCTCAGCCTGTAGGAGGTCGACACGGCCTTGAGCCACGCAAGGTTTGAGGGCTGAGAGACCGTAGGAACCCTATAATGGGGGCACCTTTGGGACTTGGCCTTGGTGAGGACAGTTAGAACCTACCTTGACTATGCACTTTTCTGCAAGATACCCCTACCTCGTGATTAAACGTCGTCACTCTGTTCGCGGATGAGTGAACTGTTTGAGCATATGGTTGTTGCATTTGTTTGATTGCATTAGCATAGAATGATCATACAATATCCAAAATAAATAAAAATTCTTAAAACATAAAAAAATAATAGATGTCTAACCTGCTCTGCCATCCAGCATCTCAAAATCTTATTTTAAACTTTTCTTGGTATAACCAACTTTATCTCAGACAATCTTCATTAAGCTAGTCTGGTTTCAGGTTTTTTAAAAGCTAAGTAGCCACGTTGACTAACAGAAGAGATAAGGAGTTATTAAAAAAAATGCCAAAGTCAAATCATTCATACCTTCATCATTTTAGGAGTGGTAAAACCAAGAGAGAAAATAAATGCATAAGGAAAGCATGTATATGCATCATCCTAATAAATCTTTCATGCATAAACACATTCATTCTAGGGGCACTAGATATCCTTAGACAAAGGCAAAAGAGACCCAAGTGCATTTGTAACCTTCGTCATACTTGTCACTCTATGACAAAGAAGGGGCAAGTGTGCTAAGGTGTGGTAACCTTCATTATACTTGTTAATCCATGATGGGGAAGGAACCATTACACCGAGGTGGGTATGGTGCTCGTGAAGCATAAGTT